CTGCTGTGTGATACTGTTCAGCCTCAGTGTTTTCATCAAATTGTGACCTCCTGTTGGGCCCTTCTAGGAACAAATGCTGGAACTCCATTAGAGTCCTCGGCACAGAGTCTGCCACATAGGTGGAGCTCTGTGAACGCTTACAGAATCAGAGCAAGAAAGGGGATAATGGCACCGGATCCCACAAAGCAAGCATCCTCCAAGCTTATCGGCATTGTCAGGCTGGAAGAAGGCGCAGTCAGAGGAGGCAGGGCCAGGCCCACTGTTGGACACCCTGCAGGGATGCAGAGAGTGGGAGAGTGGGTGGCCAGCACTACACTGGGAAGGGAACCCCAGGGCACAGCTTTGTCCCTCTGCTTGGACTCTTCTTTCCTTTTTAAAACATTGTACTAATGGTGGTGATGATATTTTGATATAAATTGGGAGAAGAACCTTAATGGGACTCTCCCCATCCGTAGGCACAGTGGGTCATGTACCTGGTCCCTGGGCAAACGAGTCCACTGTGGTCCGTCCCTCCTCAGGACTGCCAGTCCTGCCTTTGCAGGGAGCGAGCTTTTCTCCTTGCCTCTGATTCTCCCAGCCTGCTCAGACTTTCTTTTCCATCTGTCAGTCCCATCCCTTTTTAGAAGGTGGGTCTTTGCCAGAAGACCCCCAGTGTCTTAGAGGCCACTACATCATCCAGAGAGCTGGATTGGACAGTCAGCCAGAAATACTCCCTACATTTACTGTGGGGGTGATGATGCCGGCCCACTCTGGATTCTCCAAAGGGCCTAAAGGGCTCCCAGTGGGGTCATGGTGGGGCCATGGCAGGCTGGGGGCTAGAGATCAGCAGAAGCATATTTGATGGGAGCTGAATTCTTCTCCCTCACTCTGTCGAGGCACCCATATTTTGCCAGCCTGAGATACACGGTGGAGGTTGGTATGTCTTTCTTTTTCCTCTTCCTTCCTCTTTCCCTTCTTTCTCTCCCTCTCCCCTACCCCCTACACCCCTCCCCAACACTTCTCTCTGTTATCCAGGGAGTATTTGTTGGGAACCTGCTCTTAGCCAACACAAGGAAGCCAGGGGCCCAGTCCTCTGAGAGCTGGTAGTCCAGGTGGGAGACAGACAGTGTGGTGCATGAGAAGTCCTGGGCACTGGGGGAGTACCTAACCAGTAGACTGATTAAGACTGGGCAGGGCAGTCAGGGCAGGTTCCTTGACAAAGCAGTGCTGAAGCTGAAGCCTGAAGGATGGGTAAGAATTAACAGGTGATAAGGGTGGAGAGAGGATGGTCTGGGCAGAGACAATAGTGTGTAAAGACCCTGTGGAAGAATGCTTTTTCAAAGATGGCCCCAACGATATCTCCTAGTACACAATGAGACCTTGACACTCCTCCCATTGAGAGGTGGTTCATGCCCCCTCACACTGAATCTACGTGGATCTGTGACTTCCTTGTAACCAGTAGAATGCGGTGGAGGTGACACTACCTGACTTCTGAGGCTAGATGAGAAAAGGCAGTGCAGCTTCTGTCCTGTTCACTGCGGCCCTCTCTTTTGGAGCCCTGAGCCAACCAGGAGCCTAAGAAGTTCAGAAGCCACCATGCAGAGGCCAGGTACAGTGTAGATCCCAGCTGATGGCCAGCATGGACCTCCATATATGTGAGGGAAGATGCCTCTGATGATTCCAGCCCCTCTCCATTGGGTCACCCCAGTCACTGCGTCAGTCTCAGCTGTGGAGTCTTCCTGTTGAGGCCCTAGACACTGGGGAGCAGACATGAGCCATTCTACTGTTCCATATCTGAATTCCTGAACCACAGAACCCGGGGGTATAATAAAATGGTTGTTTTAGGCTGCTAGGTTTTGGTGGAAATTTGTTACGCAGCTATAGTAACGAACAGACCCTGAGGCAAGAGCAATTGTAGGCACTCTTCAGAGGAGCTGAGAGAAGTGCATCCCAGCTAAGGAGAATAGGCAGGGCCTTGTTAGAGGTGAGACTTCATCCCAAGGACAGTAGGGAGCCACTGAAAGGATTTGAGCAAGACAAGTGTTGAGACATACTTTTATTTTTAAAAGGCCACATTAGTTGAATGGACACTGGATTGATTTGAGCTACACACAAGGTGTCTGTATCTGGCAGGGGAGGGAGGCAATGGGACTCTCTGGATCAGGAGGGAATTTCTAGGACTTTCTCACTTTCTGGGAATGGGTGCAGCCCAAGCCCCTTGGTTGCTAAAATAAATCTGTTTTCACAGTTCTAAGTTCCTAGGATCCCATCAAACAGGGGAGGAATACCGAGGTGGCCTTGCCCTGTGCCCGTCTTTGCACAACTCCTGCCCCTTTGGTGGCCTTGGGGAGTCAAGTGCCTGCTTGGGAGCTTGAGCTCTGGGACCAATTCTGGTTCAACCACCTAGTAGCTCTGAGCTCACTTTCCTCATCTGTAAAATAGGGATAATACAAGGGTCTACCTTATAGAGCTGTGAAAATTAGCTAAGATGTGACACATTAAGTGTAATAGACACTGGCAAGTCCATTGCTTGATACATGTTTGGCTATAACAGTTAGTACTGCCTCCTTCAGTGGGCTGTGAGTACTCTGAGGACAGGGGTGTGTGCCAGCCAGGGAGAGTCTCCTTTTGTATAGCCCAGAGAAGAGAAATGAATGTCTGGCTGGAGGAGGGAGAAAATCTGTGGCTTAAAGTCTAACGGACCTGGGCCCAAAGCCCACCTCTATCACTAATCTTGGGCAACTTTCTTATTATCTCCGAAACAATAACACCCCTCTGGGTTGGTGTGAGGACTGAATAAGTGCCTGGTACTAGGCATTTAGCAGTTGGTCAGGAAACTGCCGCTGCGCTGCTGCTGCTGCTCCCTGCTCCCAGACTCCTCCCACTCTCACTCAGAACAGCTTCACCAAGCTCCTAACTTGATGACTGCTGGGTCTTGGAATCCCCCTGACCTCCTCAAGGAGCACCACTTCCACATTTCCACTTGCTTGCTGGACAGAAGCATCACGTGATTAAAACATTTTCCTTTTTAAAGTTTTTATCAATAAAAAATGTGTGATGTTTATCTGGTGGCAGAATATGAAGAATCTTAATGTATGTGCCACAATTTGTATAAATGATTTCATGTCTTTTCATGTCTTATCACCTTCCCAACAACTACAACTTTTTTTTTTTCCTGTTGGTATTGTTGGGATTTTCTACTGAGATACTGGGTATGTGGCAGGAGAATGTGTGTGTATGTGTGCTGGGGACGGAGGGGCATGTGTTACAGAGGGGTGTGCTTGGATGGAGCAGCTTTGCTGTATTTTGCAATCTCAGAGTCCCACCAGATTCACATATCACAAATTGACTTTTTTTTTTTTAAACACCCCTTTCAGCGCTTTTTAAATGTCTTCATTGTCTTCTGGCCAATGTGTTTCTGATGAGAAATCAGCTACCTTCCTTGGTCTTCCTGTATACCTAATGAGT